ATAAGAGACAGGTATGTGCATCCATTGAGACTGGTTTGATCTACTTTGGATTTCACTTACCCTCGCTGATACAAAGGGTTTGAATGATCTTGCATTACTTCTTATCCAACCAAGTGTGATTGTACTGTCCGACATGAATATGGTTCGGTTTATTTCAAGTCTTGTTTCATTCTGAATGGTTTCTGATAACCTGGCGGCCAACACTGCGGCTTGTAGCTCTAATCTGGGTATTGATAAACACTTAAGTGGAGCCACCCTGGACTTTGCAGCTAAAAACCTTACTTCGTATGACCCTTCATTGGTTTTTCATCTAGCATACACACAGGCCCTGAATGCATATTCTGATGCATCTGAAAACATGCAAAGTGTTGGCAGTCCCGTAGCGTTAGGTGGTGTCGACTTACTTTTACATCATTTAAATTTTCCATATCTTTGAACAGTTCAAGCCATTTTTTATGTACAGACCAGGGAGTTGTTATTTAGAAGGAGTCACAACAAAATCCTCTCTTTTGATCAGTCTACTTTTCCGACAAGATAACGAAAGCAGAGAGGTAGCATGCGCAGTAAACCTTCTTATGCTTGTGTGTGACAAAAAAGCATGGCAACTAAAGAGAGTGTCAGTTATCAACTACACGCTAGCGTCAAACCGATACAACAAATCATTTCCCTGCTACGAAAATATGTTCAGTTTGAACTTTGTCTGTCTGTCTTCATGTTTCGCCACAAAAAACGATGCACATGCTGATCTTCACATGGTATAAGGATTTGGTTATACATTTTTGATTTTGTCACTGCATATCGCAACATTATTTTCCCGGAACCGCAAGAGCACTCCGAACAGGTTGTTGAGTAAGTCTGGTCCTTTGTACCAATAGTCGTTGAGACAGTGTCCGATGTTGCTGACTGGTGTACTCTTCTTTTGCGGACGCACCACTGGGTGATGGGCTTTGTAATATACTGGGCCTCTGTGATTTTCTAGTTTCTCTCTGCTAATTTTTCTTGTGAAATTCATGTCGACCATGGCCTTCATCTGGTCATCATATGCTTTTGCGAGCTCAATGTCATTTTAAAGTCTTCGTTCAATGGCTTCTAATTTTCTTTCAGCCTGCTGTCTGTTGAGGCAACAAATTTGGGTCTTTTTTCCAGGGATATGGTATAATCCACTGATCTCCAACATTCATGCATGAGTCTTCAATTATTTTTGCTTCTTCTGATTCCGCTGGGCCAATTTTGTCGGCTTTACACCTGCATGACTTAACAGCAACTCCCATAGATTCTGTCGTCCAGAAATCAGCCATGTCAACTGGTGTTGATAATTTCACATGTAATTTCTACTAAGACAACAGGTAGTAGTGTTTCCTTGGTATATACGCTTGCTACGCCAATGGAATCTGTAGACGGATTCCTGTTCATGTGTAGAAATGGATGTATTCAGTATTCAATAGTCATCAGTGATAGGCATAATCAATCTCAAAAAGATGAACAGGCAGTGAACACCCTATGCAAAAGCATAAGAGATAGTCAACTTTTAAAGAAAAATGATCACTCAATTTTGCATTAATTGTAAAAATATATAGATGATTATAAAGCTTAAAACATCTAGTTTCATAATCCGATCGCCCCAGATTGCCAAATGAAACCATTCAAATTATATAGTTGATTTGTGAGAAAAGGGGGTGGTTTTGACTCATTTACTGTGTTAAGTGTGCAGTGAACTGTTTTGAGCAGTCCTCAAGGTTTCATTATGATTTGATAGTGACAATTTTGTTACTTTTGACCTATAGGTGAAGAGTCGTTTTTCATGTTTAGAAGGTCCTAAGGATCATTCCTGGTAAATTCGAGCTCAATTGGACTATTTTGAAAATTTGAAACCGATGACTCCTATTTAACCCTGATCCCAGACTGAGGTGTAGGAGGTGTCGCCGGTTCTTAGTGACGAAATTTGATTGAATTTCGTCCAATGGTTTGGTATTAGAAGCATTTCCAATGTTACGCCAATGTATATGTGCAAAGGACAAGACTGTGCTACGTTATTTTGTAGACAAGTAGTCTTTTATACGATTTTTGGTTTTTTTACCCTAATGCCCCTTATGTGACCTTTGACCCCAAGTTGTTAACAACACATAATTGGGAAGTGGCACTGGTCCTACTGACCAAGTTTTAATTAAATCAGTCCAGTAGTTTGCCACTAGTAGCCTTTTAAAATGTTGCCAGAAAGAAAGAACTAGAGATACTATGTTCAATAGAACATGAACCCAGTCATTTTTTAAGAGATAACCACTGTGACTTTTAACAAAACTTAGTGGCCAATGAAAAGCCAGAAAATAAAACAAAGCATAAAACAATAGAACAATGTAGGGAGGAAACCTTCCCCCCCCCCCAAAAAAGCTAAAACCAAAGCATAGCCTAAATGGCGCCAAAATGAATAATAACAGTATAACACAGCAAATTGGCCACTACGTTTTGTTCTGCCACCTCATTGGTGCATTCCATAGTTTTTTAAGCCATGTATTGAGCCTTCTATTTACTATATATATTTTGCTCTCATCATATTTTTCTTCAGCTTGACAAAGGTTGATAACCGAAAACGTTTGCTCACTATTAAATAAATAAATACCTGGCAACTTATTACCTTCTCTCCGGAGTTTTTTGTTTTTACTATTTTGTTTGCCAATGCAGCCTTCCAGTTTTTTATATATATTTTCTATCATCATTTGCTGCAACCACCGGACTTCTACTCTTTGTTTTGACTATTACCGGTACTCTATGGAAGACCCTAAAAAACTTCTACTTCAGCTTCAACATCTATGTGAAGACTTCAAAATGTATCCTGCAACTTTAGAACATTTCGCTTGCCAGTTTGGAGTAGCCATGTTTAATAAGACCAGATTCTGTAATCATGTTAACTTCATTTCTACGTGCCTTAAATCTAACATCATTCCAAAAGGATTTCGATCAAATTGGAGGCCGTTTATTGCCAATGTTCACTCTGATATTGTGTCCAAACCTATTATAGACTGCTCAAGAAGAATTATGCGATCCAGTTTATGCTCTTTTCAAGCCTCTTGCCAAATTAATAGTGACAAGATGGAACAATTTCGCAATTTACTTAAAGCCTCCTTCTTAAGAATACCACAATAATTTTCAACCTCAATACCATATAGGCATAGCCTAAAACATACTATAAAACAGACATGTTCCGGCAAATCCTTCACCATCTTCAGTGAAACGATTGCTAACATGCAATCTCCTATTTAAAGGGAGTGAACAACTGTGAAGCATTGTATTTTAAATAAATGGGAATTGAACCACAGCTATTTGAACAGACATCATGACATTGCATTTTTAGAGAATCGATTGTAAAGAAGAAAGAAAGGCATGAATAAAGATGATAACGTAATGAGGAACATCAGAATGACAAAGTTAAATTAACATGTAAAAGTTGCTAATTCAGAGAGGGTGTGTCCCATTTTATATGCAACGCCTCCTTGATTTTACTTTGGCTGGCTGTTGAAGCGGAACACAATACACGGAAGCAATCTTCGTTGCATGAGGTTTTACATTGGGATGAGCTATTAAGATGTTTAAAAATGTGTTCCTGTCCGTGGTCATGTGTTCGTTGCAAAATGTCGGCCAGTTTCGCCTACATAACAGGCATTACAGCCTGCACACATGAATTTATACACAACGTTAGAACGTAGACCACTGGGGACAGGATCTTTCACAGAAAACATATTTCTAATTTTAAATGAAGAAAAAACCAATTTGATATATAAATCATTACAAAACTGTTTCGTTAAAGCATTTATCTTATGTGAAATAACTTTAGAAAATTTACCAGTGTATTAGGCAACTTAGATATCTAGAAATAATTTTGTCAATTAAATACATTGGAAACATATTTTTTCTAAGGATAACAATTAAAGCCTTGAGGTCAGGGACGTATCCAGTTGGAGCCGTGGGAGCCGCGGCTCCCCCCACTTTGTACACAGTGTTGAAATCTTAAAGCTTATTCTTGAGCCAATACAAATTCTTTCCTGGGATCACTTAAAATGAATACTTCTAAACATGTAAATATGCAATATCAGTACACGTTATAGGTCTAATAGAACACATAGGCCTAAGGGTGATTAAAAAAAATCTTAAATCCATAAACCTCAGGCCAGGTCTTTTAAGATAGAAATGCGATACTGTGGTTCAATTTCGTTTTTATCATTTTGCAAGTTTCTTTAAATGTTTGTTTAATAATACTACTACTAATCATGAGAAATTTGTTCTCGTTTCATTTTGACTATAATGGTAATGTGATGATGATGAATTTTACTATATAAAAGTGTCATTTCCGGCCATCTCGAGAGGTACTATTTCCTCAAATTTTCTTTCCTCAGCCCCAGCCATGGTGGGGCTGAAGTGGTTGTGAAATCACGTTTTTGAAGTATCCCTATGTAAAGTACATACTCAAAGACAATGTTTTTAAGCTTTTTTCTATGTTTTTTTTCTATGGTATATCACACACACCAATAAGAATAAGATCTCTATGGTTATCAAAAATCCCTTATAAAAGATCATGTTTGTTTAATAATACTACTAATAGTAATAATAATAATAACAACAATGATGATAGTAATAATTGATAATAATATTAATAGCAATAAAAAGTGAAGAAAATTGTGCTAAATGCGAAAAAAAGTTGTGATTTGTTGATCATACTATAGTATATATAGTTAAAGCTTAGTAAGCTATAATTAGGCCTAAGTTAAG